TTGCACAAATATATATATATATATATATATATATATATATATACATAGATATTATTTATTATGAAAAACTCAAAGAACCAACTTAAGTCACGAAGTATCGTTGTCCGCCATTTGACCAGGGTTAGAGAAACTAGCAAAAATTACTCAAAAAAACACAAAAAAAAAATATGAGGAACAAAAAATCAATCTTTATATATAGGATCATCCAATTTAATAGAGTCATTTTCAACTGAAAAATTATCAATGTAAACTCTTAAACGATGTCCATTTACCTTGAAAATATTGTCATTCTTTAGATTCTTGATATCACAGGCCCCATTTGGATACACATGTTTTACAATAAAATGACCACTCCATCTTGATCTTAGTTTTTCAGGAAATAAATGCAGTTGAGAATTATAAAGTAAGACTTTTTAACCAACATTGAATGTTTTTCTCAATATTTTTTTGTTATAAAACTCTTTGATTTTTGCTTTATCACTATTTTGTGATCATTGGTTTGACTTGGAATTGCCTCTATCCATTTTGAAACATAATCTAATGCGACTAATATATACAAGAAACCAAATGATAGAGGAAATGGACCCATGAAATCTATACCCTAATAGTCAAATATCTCAATAACAAGACTAGGATTTAATGGCATCATGTGATGTTTTGAAATAGATCCTAATTTTTAACAATTTTCACAAGACTTGCATAATGCATGTGAGTCCTTGAACATAATGTGCTAGTAAAATCCACTTTGAAAGGTTTTTCTGGTTGTCTTTTTTTATGAGAAATGACCTCCACATGCCTCAGAATGATAAAATTTAATGACAATACTCAACTTATTGTTGGGAATGCATCTTTAAAATATTTTATCAAGATAATATTTGAATAAATACGGATCATCCCAATAAAAGTTCTTCACTTCGTTCAAGTTCTTTTATCTTAGGTACTCCAATGAGCTCGCAATTGTCCTGAAACAAGAAAATTGACAATATTAGCAAACCAAAGCATTATAAAGACAGAAAGTAAAGATTCATCTAGAAAATAGTCATCGATTGGTGTGATGTCAGTTTTTGAATATGTTGTCAATCTTGACAAATGATCTGCGACAATATTTTAGGTGCCTTTTTATCTTTGATTGTGATATCAAATTCTTAAAGTAACAAAATTCACCACACCAATCTAGCCTTAGAATCTTTCTTATAAAGAAGATCTTTCAATGTTGCATGATCACTAAAACTAACAACAGGTGAGCCAACAAGATAAGACTTGAATGTTTTGCATACAAATACTACTGCAAGTAATTCTTTTTCATTGATGTTGGGTGGTATAATTCATTTGAGCACTATTTAAAGTTTTACTTGCATAGTAAATTACATAAGGTTTCTTATCTTTTCTTTGTCCCAAAACAGCACCTACGGCATAATCACTAGCATCACACATTATTTCAAAAGGTAATGACCAATCGGGAGGTTGAATGATAGGAGCACAAGTAAGCAAGTTTTTAAGTTTAACAAAGGCTTCTTCACAATGTTCAGTCCATTCAAAAATAGTATCCTTTGTTAGAAGGTTACTTAAAGGCTTAGATATTACACTAAAATCTTTGATGAACCTTCTATAAAAACCAGCATGTCCTAGGAATGATCTAACATCTTTAAGAGATTTTGGTGTTGGCAAGTTTGCAATTAACTCGATTTTAGATTTGTCAACCTCAATTCCTTTTGATGAAACAATATGACCAAATACAATGTTGTTTGTTACCATAAAGTGATATTTTTTTCAATTCAGTACAAGATTCTTCTTTTCAAACCTGCTCAAAACCTTTTTTACGTTAGTCAAACTATCATCAAATGAATCGTCAAAAACAGAAAAATCATCCATAAAAATCTCAAGAAAATATTCAACCATATCACTAAATATACTAAGCATGCATCTTTGATTTAAATCTAGGGATCTAATACCAACTACATTGGCCTAATATTTAGGACATAAATTTACATATTCTAAATCTTAGATAACCTAAAACCAAATGGAAAAATTGTGTGTGTGTATCGAATGAAATTTCAACTGATTTTCCTTTAAATTTTAATGTTCTCAAGTATCAACATCATTATTCATCTATACAAATTCTAATTTTTTACAAGATTCAACATTCAAAATTATTTCAATATCAAACAAGATCAAAATAAATTATGTCCATTCTTTTGGCTTTCCTTTATTACATTCCATAAAATAATTTCTACACAATTATCTTATAAACTTAGCATGAATAGGTTTTAAAAGATTAATAAATTAAATTCCATACATTTCTAGTTAAGACATTAAAGATTAAGATTATACAAAATACTAGAACGATTTAAAAAATTTAAGTCAATACATTCATGTTTAATAATAGATTTAATTACATCTTAAAGACAGTATTGAAAATATATTATATAATAAGTGTATAGTATTCCAAGATTCAACATTAAGATCTATCATCATAAGTAATAACAAAAGAAATCTATTTTTCAACTCAAACTTGTGAGGATCTTGTAGTGAAAAATAATTACAAAATAAAAAAAAATATTTAACAATTTATGTGTCTATTTGAAACAATAATTATCAAATTTCAAATATTGCTAACCAATATTTAAGAAATTTTATATCTTCAATTATCCAATAGTATCTTAACTGATAAAACCATTATTAAACATAAAAATAGGACAAAGAAATTGATGAGAAATCTAAGTTTTCTTCACTTCTTCTTCTCTTTAAAAATACAAAATAGGACATACTTGACTTCACGTGACCCCTATATGGACTCTTAAATGAAGTAAATTTGAAGAGTTATATACTCAAGAAAAGTAAAATGCACCTAAAAAAGAGAAAAAACTCATTCATTCTCTGGCCATCAAAGTAGTCTAGGTATGACATAGTAAAGTTGAACCTCTTAAGTCAACTCGACATACCACTTAACAACAACAAGGATAAATCATACATATATTAAATACATGTATGTTCTTGGGGCATATAGCATCCACTAAAACATAGTGACAATTGTCCTTATCATATGGACAATGTCAATAACTTTAACTTTAGCTTTTAATAGTGATTGACCAACTTCAACGATTTTATCTTCTAATCATGATCTATGATCATATGGAGTGAGAAGACTAATCTTTTTGCTTTTGACTTTATGTAAGTTTCCAATACTTGTGGATATATAAATAGCAATGAGTCCTAGGGTAAAGGATTTTGAACTTCATCTTCTTCAATCTTCTTCTTTAGTTTTAAACACATTCAAGCTCTCTAATAATTACTATAGTGTTTTTTCAAGCTCGTGTTTTTTCAAGCTCGTTTCCCATCATTTGCTTGCTAACTTAAGCATAAAAACTTCCTCAACTTTCTAAGGAGACTTGTTTTGTAAAAACTTCAACCCATCATTCTTCATTTCCAATTGAGGATGATCCATATCAATTGTGAGAAAAAAATTCATATAATTGCAAAGGTTTATTAACGTGAAACGTATTACAAATATGTTTATGGACTAGATAGACAAGGTTGAGTCTAATAAGATTTTGCAAAGAAACTTGAACATATTAGATATAAAATCTAAAGAAAATCGCGATAATATAAGATCTAACAGTTTGAGTTCACTCAAATTTAATCAGGTTATTCTATAAGTCGAGCCCCTTAAAAGTCTCACTTTGTTGATCATAGGACCATTAGATCTCTTAAAATTATACCTAGAAATTTTTTTTTCTATTTTAATTATTTTTCTATTTAATTTTAAATTTTAAGTATTTGTTTTCTACTTAACTTAGGTTTCTTGTTTAGGTTGATTTTAAGCTCTATTTAAATAGTTGTGGTGTTGTTATAACATTATATTATTATTGAGGTTTTTCTTATAAAATATTATAGAAACTTTATCCCTTTAGCATGTTGAAAACTGTAATTTTACAATTTGAGAATTCTAACTTTTATACTCACTATACTTTGCATCATTTCTCAAACTCCTTGATAAAAAAATAAAATGTAGTTCTTTGAATCATTTTCCTCTATGAATGTATTTTGGTTGAGTTTTTATAAGACCAAATATGAAAAAGTCATATCCTTTACTTCTTTTACGTGTTTTGGCTACTAGTGTGTGTGTGTCTAGACAATGGATGAGTGGTCATTGAAAATTTGCAATTTATTAATGTCTCGAATTTGAATTTTGTTTCTAAAATACTTTAAAAAAAAAAACACTATGTCCTTTTCTCATTGCATATTGTGTTCCATAGAATAACTTATAGAAATCCAATCGTTGTGAATGCGTGAGCTTACATATAAAGTTGTTGTTGCTAATAGATGGTATCTCTAATTTCTTGCTTTCTATCTGCTGTAAATGCCTTTGCCTTCGTTCGCCCACATACGCACAATCTATAAGAGAAGCGAGGTAATCGAATTTTGAGAAGTTATGAGATACTGCAAGTCTGGAACATGACCTCTTGACATTAACTCGGGCATCTCATCCTTCATATATTTGAATTCCCGTCTTTTTGTTTTTGTCGTTCCATCAATTATCAAGGGTTCAGCCAATCAAGAAAATGGCGACAGTAGATCTAGAAATGAACAACTCGGTAGAGAGCTCAAAGTTTCACCTTGTTAAACTGTTTGAAGAACATTATCCTTCTGGTTTTCTCAGAAAGGTACATGATGTTCTGAGTTGGTTTTTCTATATTTCACAATCACTTTGGATCTTCTTTCTTTTTCATTTTTTTTCTGGGAGAGTATATACAGTGCTAGTCCCCCGGAGAACTTAAAAACACATCCAATATTTTATGTGTTTTACCTTAATCATTCTTCAACTAAATAACCTAACATGAAATCTTGGAAGTACTGCCTTTCTTCGTATTAGAATGATTGCAAAAGTGCGTGTGTGTTTGTGCAGGTGGTGGCAGAGGTTATAGCAACCTATCTGTTGGTCTTTGTGACATGTGGTGCTGCTGCGATTAGTGCTAGTGACGAGCACAAGGTCTCAAAACTAGGAGCGTCGGTAGCAGGAGGGCTCATAGTGACTGTGATGATCTATGCAGTAGGGCACATCTCTGGTGCACACATGAACCCTGCTGTCACCACAGCTTTTGCAGCCGTCCTAAATTTTCCTTGGAAACAGGTACCGTATTGTAATGCATAATCAATTCCAATATTTAGAGTCTTTGTTTACTTTAATTTGCTTTACTTAATATGTTTCGGAGGTAAATATTCTATGGTATTTTAGATCTTTTTCGGAGATAAATATTCGATGGTGAGGTCTGTTTCGGAGGTTAGTATTCCCTGGTCAGGTCTTATCGACAATGTAAGGATACGCAGAGGATCGGGTCTGTTATGGACCCATGATGAAGTATGGGTTAATTTTAATTCTGAAAATTACTTGTTTTTTTAAAAGAAAAAATCTTTTAAATAATAATTATTTTTTAATTATGTATTTAAATGAGATTTTTTAGTTCATCTATAAATTTTTTATCTTTTATATGGATAAATTTTATTTTAAAAAATTATTTTTTAATAATATTTATAATATATACAGCCCTGCATATTTTTATTTTTATTTTTTATTCCATCAATTTAATTTATGTCTCTATTTTTATTATTTTTTGCTAAAATAAAATAAAAATTAATAAAAAAAATTTGCAAACATAACTTGATAAATATCTAGTTTCTCAAGATTAAATGTCTTGATTTATAATTATTTTTTAAATTTTTAAATTTTATTTTTAAATATTATGAATGACTTTTTATTTATTTATTCACATACATGGTTCTCTATTTGTTATATATAAAAAAAAATTATTTGAATTTAAATTTTTTAAATTATAAAAAAACATTAAAAAAATTTATATACATAATTTTTTTATAAAAATAAAAATATTTAATCCATGATGAAACAAGAGTAACTTAACAACTATAAAATATACGTTGCAAGGGGCACAGGTGTTAATTGAATCTTTCACATATTTTATTATTATATGGTAGATTATATTAATTAGATACATACAACATGTATTACCATATAAATATATGAAGATGTTTTCCTGTTATTTTTAATTATGTCATTTTATTATCGTTTATAGGATCTTTCCCTTCAAACCATGTGATATTATTAAATAAGCCAATAATGTTCTGTTTTTTTTTTTAGGGTAATAAAAAAAATCCACAATTCATCAAATCAGAGAAGTCAATTAGCAATCCACATGCATTTGTATCATACATGAATAAGCAGCTGTATTTTATTTTTATTGTTTTTGCTTCAAATCCAAAGACAAAAGGAAAAAGAAAAGGATGTGTTGTCAAATTATTCGTTTTTAAGAAAATAAATAAATAAATAAATTTTTGCAGGTCCCATTTTATGCCGCAGCGCAATTAACAGGAGCAATTTCTGCTTCATTTACTCTGAAAGTGCTACTAAATCCTATAAAAAATGTCGGCACTTCTTCACCATCTGGAACAGCTGTTCAAGCTCTCACCATGGAAATCGTCGTAACATTTTCCATGATGTTCATCACTTCTGCTGTGGCAACCGATACTAAAGCTGTAAGAATCATCTTCCTAATTAATTAGCATCCAAGATTTTCAGTTTTGCAAACAAAGTGTGTGTGTTGCTCACATGTGTGTGTGTGTGTTGTCTTTTTTCTTTCTCTTTTTTCTTTTTTCTTTTTCTTTTTTTTTTTTGGGTTTCAGGTAGGAGATCTGGCAGGTATAGCTGTTGGTTCGGCAGTCTGTATAACATCCATCTTAGCCGGGTAAGCTGGAACATATATTTATAAAAATCCTCAATCGTGTCCCTCGCCCTTTAGCATTGCCCAATTAACCTCTGTACCTAAAGTAAAAACTAGGTAAAAAGCATATACTTTTTAAGACAATAAGTTGTCGATTTTTTATTTTTATTATGATATTAAGACAACAAGACATAACTCAAGTGGCCTAACACCACACCCTTCTACGTATTTTTGCCAACAAAAAGAAATAGGGATCGCTTATTCTTTGGTGCATAGGAACCTGCCTAAGCCTAGATTAGTAAATCTAAGTGGCCCCAACGAATGGACATCCCTTTTGAAGGTGCGGGAGGCCTTGGAGGGTCCGATATTGAAATCAAAAGAACTTAAACGTGGAGGTTCAAATGCAATATTGGAGTTTCATTAATGTAATTGATATCATAGTCTTAAATAACCTACCTTAGTCAAGGGAATCGAGGTATCCCTTTACTTTTATTTGGTGTTATAATACCATTATTACCAATAACAGCTATAAGATTATTCATCTTCGCATTACAGATAACGAAATTTTCAATTCTAGAATTAATCATCAAATAAGGCCGAAGTTTTTATTAAGCGAAGACACGAAACCAAGAGTGGTAACTAACTAGCTGCCTAGCCATCTTCAGCCCAGTATCAGGTGGATCTATGAACCCAGCAAGGACACTGGGACCAGCAGTTGCTAGTCGATACTTTAAAGGCATATGGGTGTACCTGCTCGGACCAGTGACAGGAACGCTCCTTGGAGCATGGTCTTACAATATGATTCGCGTGACTGACAAACCAGTTCAAGCAATTCCTCGTCGTTCTTTATCATTCGGACCTCGCAGAAAGAGGGCCATTGATGAGCAGGCTCCGAGCAAGGGCCCTCTCCATGCTTTCTGAAGAAATACGGTCGTCGGGAAGTGACAGTCTTTCACAGATTCCACGCCTCACAATGTATCATACCAAGCTTATCTTCTGTTATTTTTCAAGCCTGTTTGTACCATACAAGTTTTTGCCAATGGATTGGAGTTTAGAAATAAAAATGCAGTACAGATGATTCTGCAACTGTATCAGCTTCACTCGTCACAAAGCTTGAATGATTTGATAGGAACTACTGTCAAAGTGAATTAAATTCCAGTTTCTAAAGATGGTTAAGCTGCGAGGGCCCTCTACATAAGAAAACTTCAAAGCACTGCAGTTGAATAGAATTCCAAAAAATATCAACAGATTCCTACCCTTCAACATCGTAGCACTGAACCAAGCCACCAGCCTTAAAAATTCAAAGCAAAAGCCCGACTCATGATTACGATCTTCATTTTGAGAATAGTCTTTGATTGATATTTCATGTCTACAAAGTAGATGCATCTAACTGAAGTGTACAGGTATTGTTGTGTACCAGACATTACACATGCCAACAGACGCAAAGTGGATACAATACAAATAAAAATGTCCGCCAACAAATATCGAGTTGATATTTTCATGCTCTACATATTGGGTAAGGCTATGCAAAAGTAAAACATAATTGCATGGAATCACTCTAACTTACATCTTGAGAAAATACGCGCGGGGGAGGGGGGGGGGGGGGGGGGGGGAC